CGAGGCAAAGAATCTCGACTCCCACTGGTTGACATGGAGTTGACACAACCTGCTCTTAAGAAAGCTTGCCATTTTGAGGGAGGGGGCTCTTTATTCAATGACCCCCTGTGCCATTGTACTTTGCTTAATATATCTGGACTGATATCAATATGCTATGTATTCTAAATTATACCTCACCTTTAAAAAAAAAAGGGGGGGGGGAGATGTGGGAGACAGACTTGAGCCCAGGGTGAAAGTCTTATTGACAGCCATACAGCGGGCCTGAGGCAATGGCCCAACTGCTGGAGCCACAAGGAATGCCTTGTGACATTTTGCTCCCATTGGCAGATCATGAGACTGATGCCTAGAGCTCTCCACTCCCTAATCGTACACCCTTGGGTACGTCACCTTTAAACTACTTACTGTGCTGTGCACCACCCTTGGATACCTCACCTTTAAACTACTTGCTGTACTGTGCACCACCCTTGGATACCTCACCTTTAAACTACTTGCTGTACTGTGCACCACCCTTGGATACCTCACCTTTAAACTACTTGCTGTACTGTGCACCACCCTTGGATACCTCACCTTTAAACTACTTGCTGTACTGTGCACCACCCTTGGATACCTCACCTTTAAACTACTTGCTGTACTGTGCACCACCCTTGGATACCTCACCTTTAAACTACTTACCTCCCTAATCACCACCCTTGGATACCTCACCTTTAAACTACTTGCTGTGCTGTGAATGGACCACTACCCCTATATAAGCTTGTGCCTTCCTGCAATAAACCAGATCTGTGTCACTGAACCTGGTCTCCTGTGTCTGAATGCGGCTCCGCTGACACAATCTCCTCACCAGCCCTGGGGTCCGGACCGGATGACTGATCGGAGGAACTAAGACAGCAGGAGAGCGGCCATAGCTAGAGGAGAACAGCCACAACGGGCAACCACAAGTGGTGACCGGGATATTTGTCTATAAATATAAGGATACAAATTTTGCCTGTAGTAAGAAATTGCATTAGTCTAAGGATGTGACAATTTGGGGGTTTTCTCTAGGATCTATGACCTCTCCAGCCATGTGTATTTGGCTATGTTTACAGTACCACACAAGAGTTTCCTCCTATTGAGTGGGCT